CTACTACTACTACTACGACTACCACTGCTACTACTACTGCTACTACTACTGCTACTACTACTACTACTACTAGTACTAGTACTAGTACTAGTACTAGTACTAGTACTAGTACTAGTACTAGTACTAGTACTTGTATACTCGTACGAGAGCTTTTAGTTGTACTTGTAATAGTCAGCAAGAATCAGAATACAACAAGTATATACCATGAAAGCAATACTTGCATACAAGGAGTGCTACCGCAGTTTGCGCCACGTGGAAGCCAACCAAGGCTGCAGATGCCTGGGCTTTCCTGGGCTGCTTTTTGCAGTCTGAAGACGATACCTTACTAAAACCAACAGCTATATTATCAGCATCACCATAGTAGACGATGCAAATCCTGACGACCTTACTAAACCCAAAAGCTATATTTTTAGTATCACCATACTATATCGACGATGTTCAGCAAGTTCTTCCCGAGAACGGCCGAGTTTCCTGGCGGCCTGTAGAAATGGCCCATCTCTTCGAAGCCGGCCTTCTTCATAAGCTCGGCATAGGTCTCGTAACACAAGTAGTATCCATACCTACCTGAAAGGGCTAAAAGTGTCGGGATGTGACAGCTGTAGGGTTGAGCTCCACTTTCAAGCTTTGCGGACCCCAATATGAAGTCCATAGTGATGGGATCCTTACTGTAAGGGATCCCAAGCGCTAAGTGTTGTACCCTATTTCTGAAACCCCCACCTGAAAAGTTTTCGGTGTCCTCATCGCCACGAGGGTTGGAGGAGAACAAGATGCCACCCGGGGCCAGAGCGTCATGCAGAGTTGACAAGACAGCCGGCAGATGCGTCCTGTACACGTGGAAGAGGGAGGCGTTGGCAAAGATGCCATCAAAATAGGATGGGGGCAAATCCAATTTGTGGAAGTCCTGGTGGAGCACCTCCGCCCCGGTGTACTCCCTGGCCATGCGTACAAACTCTTTACTTGCGTCAAGCCCCGTGACTTTCATACCGAGGGACTGGAAGTAGGCAATGTCTCTACCTGGGCCGCAGCCAAAGTCCAACACCGTCCTACCTGCCAGCGGCTGCCCCATAGCGGTCAGCAGGGCATCGCGGTTTTGGCTCACGTCGTGGTCCTTTGTTCCTTCCCAGAAAGAGGCAGCATTCTGATCATAGTGGCGAATGGTGGAAAGCACCATGGCTTCCCATTGCTCCGGCTCTGGGGTGTGCGGCATGCTACTGCGCACTAGGTCGGCTGCAGTATGCTCCCTCTGACCAGGGACTTGAGATAGAAATCTTCTGCACACTGCTGCACTTCGGCTATGTCAGCCGCCCAGGGCTTCAGGCTTTGACTCTGGAGACTCAGCTGGTCGGCCCCCTGACAGGCGGAAGGCCTCGGGTATCTACCTAGGCTCATCCCTTCAGATGGCATTTGAGTGGGAGCTGCGCCCGTCTGCTTCTAAGGCCAAGGCCCAAAACCCAAACCATTGAACCCTGAATCAAGGCCCCTAACCTTCAACCCTACACCCTAAACCTTAAACCCTAAACCCTAAACCCAATGCCCTAGACCGTTAAGCCATTGCTCTTTGACAAGGAACCGAGCTCCAAGAGATGTTGCGCCATCTCCTCTTCGTCGTTTTCTGTGGCATACCTCGTGCGAGACCGACGACACATGCTTTGGGGCTTATGGTTTAGGGTTTAGGGTAGCCGAAAGCCCTAAACCCTAAACCCTGAACCCTAAACCCTAAACCCTAAACACTAAACCCTAAACCCTAAACCCATACGATACGAACCCTGAAGCACTGAAACCAAAGCCCTGCACTCCGAACCCAAACCTTGAACCCCGCATGACCTCAACCCCAAACCCTAAACCCTGAACCCCAAACCCAAAACCCTAAACCCTAAACCCTGAACCCTAAACTCCCAGACCCTAAACCCTAAAACCAAAACCCTAAACCCAAAACCCTAAACCCAAACCTGATAGCCTGGCCTGCACTATGAGTCCTAAAGCGTTGAACTTCTTCTGAGCCTACAAGCAAGGCGCCGCAACGGCCAATGTTAGGGACCTTAACAAATTCAGGGTTCTCTAGAAGGTACAACAAGGGTTGGTAACGTCCTGTATGGGTTCGGGGTAAAGTCGAGTAGCATTCTATAGGGGCTCACATGGAATACCGTTCTTAATTATTGCGACTCCCCCGTGAGATGGTTGAAAAAGGGACTTTGGTTTATGGTGCAACGTCTGAACTTTAGGACTTGTGGTGAAGTCTGGCGGGCTTTGAAGTGATTCACAGGCTTCCGTGGTTGAGGGTACCCCTAAACCCTGAACCCGAAACCCGAAACCCGCAACCCTAAACCCTAAACCCCTAAACCCCTAAACCCTGAACCCTAAACCCCTACACCCTGAACCCCAAACCCTAAACCCCCCTGAACCCTAAACCCCTAAACCCTGAACCCTAAGCCGTTTCATCGGGGGTTTAATACTCCGACTTCCGACTTCAATCGCCTGCCGAAGCAGTCTGAAGGAAAGACATCCCAGACATGCCAAGGGTTTAGGGGTTTAGGGATTTAGGGCTTTAGGGTTTTAGGGCGCCCTTTAGGGCTTTAGGGTTTTAGGGTTTCAGGACTTTAGGGTTTTAGGGTTTGGGGTTTGGAGTTTAGGGTCTAGGGTTTTGGGGGGGTTTGGGTTCCTTCTTGCGGCGGCCTACTGTGATTCAAGGCATCCCCCCAATCGAGGCTTCGTGGAGCATCTGGGAAACTCGGAAACTACGAAGTGCTGAAGATTCTGAAACCCATGAAGACCACAGGAGTGCTGTAATGTAGGGGCCTTAATAATTAGAATAGGGTTTTGTGGGTTCCTTATTGTAATTACAGTATAATATACCCCAAACCCTTTTCTAACTGTTAAGGCCCCTACCGTACCATGAAAACCGGGAAATTCGAAAGTCACGATGTCTGTCTTTGTCTACATGGATCAACTCCCTTCGGGTGCATGAACTTCTGCACGTACATGCGTAAGAACTGTATGTACGCATGTACGCTCCATGTACGTATATACTCTATAAGCATACGTATGTATTATGTGCGTATCCACGTTTGTACGTGCGAACGCATTCACGTACATTTGTCTGTCTGTCTGTCTGCCTGCTTGCCTGCCTGTCTGGCTGGCTGCCTGTCTGTACCTATGTACGCACACCTGCCTGTCTGCCTGTCTGTCTGCCTGCCTGTCTCCCCATTTGCATGTACATCTCTGTATGTATGCATGTCTGGATGCATGTTCCTTTGTATGTATGTATGCATGTATGTATGTATGGACGCACGTACGTACGTATGTATGCATGTATGTACGTATGCATGTCTGGCTGTCTGTACGCATGCATGCATGCATCCATGTACGTTTCCATGCATGTAAGAATGCATGTATGTATGTATGCATGCATGCGAAGGGAGAGAAAAACAGAGACAGCACAGGGAGAGAGAGAGAGAGAGACAGAGTGAGCCAAGTGTGGCCAGGTCACCAGTAGGCGTTGCGACCTTTGAGATCTAAAGAATGCAGATTTGCACGCTTCCTGAGTCAGATGGGTCAGGATATGAGGGTCTACCGCACTGAGTTTGGGTTTAGGGCTTTAGGGCTTCAGGGTTCAAGGTTTGGGGTGTAGGGAGTTTGAGGCTTTGGGCTTCGTGGCAGGTTCTCTTCAAGCTGTATGACGTAGTGCAAATACTCTAGAACAACCCAACAATCCTAAACCCCTAGAACCCTCAACCCTAAACCCTAAACTCTAAAACCCTCAACCCTAAGCGCCTAAACCCCCTTCACCTCACGGGCAGCTTACAGCAGGTCAGCAGTACCAAACAAATTTCTGGAGTTTAAGGCTTAAGAGTCTAGGGTTTAGGGTTTAGGGTTGTTATGGCTTTAGGGTTTAGGGTTCTGGTGTTCCGGCGGAAGGTGTGACTGAAGTTTAATGTGTGTTGGGCTCTGGAGCTTTTGGAATTATTCTGGGCTTCTGTGGGATTTCAAGGTGGAAGGTCGGGGGATTCAACGCTTTTTCGCGCAATATGCGCTAACACGGTTTGTGCTACACCCTGTAGAGCTTAGAGAGGCCTGTTTCGGAAGGGGTAAGGCTGTATACGGTCTTGCGACTTTGGAAGCTTTGTGGGATTTCGTAGACGTTTGCTGCCCGTTTTGAGCTTTTTGTCATGGGTTTAAGCCATAGTCTCAAACGAAGCCCACCTCTGTACTCACTGTAGACTGTCGCGAGGTTTCGGATGTTCAAGCTAAGATGCATAAATCAGGACTAAAGCTTCTTGGAATCTGGCACCTTTTGAATAAGAAGATAAAGCAGAAATTCCACGGATTGTTTTTTCAGGCAGTTGGAAAAGTTGCTGAAAAACCACTTGCTTGCTCACACAAGCCGAGGCACTCGATCAGGTAGTCAACAACGTTCACCTCCAACACTGAAACCCTCCACGCCCAACCCTGAACCCTAAACCTCCCTGAAGGACATGCATGAGCGAGTGCACTCGGCGAGTACAGCCAGCCAGTCCAAAAACCCTCCCTGGTTAAACAAAAACTGTAGCACAAATCTCCCAAAGCTGCCGCCCTCGCTGCCCTGCATCCCCGGCTTCGTCTCGGATAGACAACATGTACTACTTCGCTGTAAGCGAAGATCTTAGGCTAGCTTGATATGAATATTCCTAGACGGCCCACACCCTCTTAATTAATGGATAAATCTTGGATTAGAGGAGGCGGAATACGGTTGATGGTACAAATCCTGCATTACCCGTAATAGGGAATATACCATAGTTCCCATAGTTTAGGGTCCTTTACAAGGTATTGCAGGATTTATATCAACATCAGCAGTACTCTCTTTGTGTTGGAGGCAAAATTAGGAGGAGCCCAGAGAGCCCAGTAGAGACCTTATACCCGTGATACTGTTGATGATCAGGGTTTAGGGTTTAGGGTTTAGGGTTTAGGGTACCCTAAACCCCAAACCCTAAACCCTTAGGACCTTATAAGGACCCTAAACTATGGGAATTATGGTGTATTCCTTGTTGCGGGTAATGCTGGGTTTATGCCATCAACCGCAAGAACCTCCTGTAGCAACCCTAAGTTAGTGAGCCCTAAACCTTGAAGCTTAAACTTAAGCCGAAAAACAACTAAACCCTGAACCCTGAGCCCTAAACCCTAAAGCCTAAATCCTAAACCCTCTAAACCCCAAA